CCACACAGCTCAGTTCACAAAACATTCAATAAATTAATTAATTTAAAATAAAAGATACAAAAACAAAACAAACCAGAATAAACGTAACAATTTCAAAATGTAATTTTCTTTAAAAAAAAAAAGAACATAAAAAAAGATTAAGAAGGTCCACAGCAGACAACATGAAACACCCTTTAATTTACTGCAACGATATACCGGGAAACCCCCTCAAGGGGGCCCCAGGCATTGCGCGCCAAAACTGCTTCTTAATTTCAGTTTTGTTGATCCGCTCCGGGGGTGGGGGGGGACTTTACTGGCATTGATCCGGACCATTGACCTTGTATAAGATTCACAAGTGGACCTTTAACAAAAAAGTTTGAGTACCCCTGCTATATGGAATACCACATTCGAAAAGAGGCCTTGAAAGGGAAGTGTATACGAGTGACATATTGCGAAAAAGGTAATACCTGCTATTAAGGTCATCACAGCAACTTCTCTGCACTACACGCTAACCTACAGCCGGCTCCTGTTTACATGGCTGCCCCCACATTTTCCAATGCTTTTCTATAGTGTTTTGCCGTTGTGGCCTAAACAGTCAATACTACAAATCTACTATCCACCAATCATTTTAAGAAGCGTCCAAACTAAAATATCAATCATGTCCAATGAGTCCAATGATTAATTTCCTCTATTACATAGCAGTACCCTTCTCCCCATGAAAACTCAAACTACTTCATGTATAACGAACAACAATCAGAATAATGTTTGAAAATCTAAACAGATACATAGAGAGTTTACTGTATTTGTTGTCGTATTTTTTGGCTCAGCGAAACCATTTTTTCAATGCACAATGAGGATATAAACGTGAGCTTAAACATTGTTTAAATTCAATGCAAGGGACAAACATATAACCCGCTCACCTGGACTTCTATTCTGCAGGCCCTGTAAAACAAGAGAAGAATTATGAAAATAATGTTTTATAAAGTATTTAAAAAGCTAAAAGTACTTTCAAAAAGTAAAACACATAATGAAATATCTAATAAATAAATAAAATAACAATGACAAATAGCGAATGAAAAACACAAAGACATAAAAAAGAAAGGGCCAGGACGGTTTCACAAGGAATCAGCTCTGGATGTGCTGCATTGAAGGAGACAAGGTTTTATTGATAGGGATTATATTCTCCTTTCCGGTCGAAGACAGCTGTTCCAGGTTAGGGTGGTCTAATTCCAATTCCAGTTTTTCAATAAAATATGAAAAACAGCAAATATGCTGGATACGCTTTTTTAAATCCAGAGGGCTTATGTACTGGCTACATGACACATCACTGTCAAGGGTATCATGCATGTTTGTCAAAATAGAAAAAAAAGTGCAAAAGTCCAAGAAAAATTGAACAGGATTATAATATAGGTGGCCACTATCAGACCTATTATTGTGAATAACTTTATTTCAAGAACTTGCCAGGAAAACTGAGATAAGAGAAGATAAATGAAAAGTTTGAGGAAAAATCTGTTTGTTTTTTTAATAGATAGATACGCAAAACATCTTCAGCTGTTCGTCATCTAATTTATAAATGAATTTTATGAACTGTGAACGTTTTTCGAATGTATTTACACTACAAGAAAAGGAAACATTTCTGGGTGTTGTTATTTATTTATAGGTAATTAGGTTTTACTGATCAGGCCCACTTGAGATCATATTGGTCTGTATGTGGTCCATGAATTACAAGGACTTAGACAGCAATGTGTTAGGGCAACATTAACTGCAACTGTATTTTGGGTTTCTTTGTTTGTATGTCTTACCAAGGAAGGCTGACCTGGTGTGTTTGTGTTGATTGTAGTCTTGTTGACTGTTGTCCTGCAGGGCTCGTCCAACTCAGCAATGTATCCATCAGCTGTCTCTATTGCTTTTTGCTGGATTGCAACGTCAGAGGACTTTAGATCCTTAACTAGCTCACCTTAAAAGAATGAATGATACTGTTAACCGCTTTCACACAAACGTTTTAGATTTATAAAAATCACAATAGGAAATTGTCATTGTGATTTAAGTGTTAAAAGTGTTCAAAGTAACACTTTGAACAGAGGATGTTCTTCCTGAGGCAGGTGAAGAAATTCAACCTCCCAAAGACGATGATGGTGAACTTCTACACCTCCATCATCGAGTCCATCCTCACCTCCTCCATCACCATCTGGTGCGCCGCAGCCACAGCCAAGGATAAGGGCAGGCTAAAGCGTGTCATCCGCTCTGCAGAGAAGGTGATCGGCTGCAATCTGCCATCCCTGCACGACCTGCATGCCTCCAGGACCCTGAGGCGGGCAGGGAAGATAGTGGCTGACCCCTCCCACCCTGGACACAAACTGTTCACCCCCCTCCCCTCTGGCAGGAGGCTGCGCTCCATCAGGACCAATACCTCTCGCCACCTGAACAGTTTCTTCCCCTCCGCTACCGGCCTCTTAAACAAGGCCCGGCCCCCCCCATGACACTTTACCTCTGCCACATCATAGACTATGCATTACATTAATGCACACAATGTTCATACTCCTTACTGCACATATTCTTATTTCACATTTCATAGTTTATATTCTAAAATTAATTCATATATGCATTCTATTTCCATGTAAATTACTGCTTTATTTTCATTTGTATTGCTATTTAACTATATTTTATTACGGTGTAAAAGATTTTTTGTTTTATATTAGATTTCTTGTTTTTTATATTTTATGTATGCACCATGACATCAAGTCAAATTCCTAGTATGTGCAAACCTACAGTACCTGGCAATAAACCTGTTTCTGATTCTGATGTAATAAGGGTAAAATAAAGAAATATAAAACAAATGTGTGCTGAGGTAGCATTCTGCCTTTAAAAGTTTATGAACCACAGACACAAGAGTGAGTTGGAAGGCATACTGTTGCTATATTACCTGCTTCGTGAAACAATACATATCGAATCTGCCATTAAGCGTCAAATGATTTGGTACATGCAATCCAACATCTGTCTGTTTAGCTTAGCTTATTACTAACCTTCATTTTGCTACTTTAGACTCTGGCACATGATAACCTAATGTTAGCTGTTTCGATTATCGCTAGTAACGGTATTGCACTTAATAAGGCTAACCCATATTTTACTCACTTATTTGGTCAACATTCTTCAAAAAACTCTCGAAGTCTTCAAGTTTGTCCATGATGCGTTGGCTCTTTTCAGCCTACTTATATTATTTAACAAGATTGGTAGCTTTATGTTATGTATAAGTTCTATAACACTTAGCAAACGCTGAGTTTAGCCTACTTTTCACAGAGTCAGCGTGTCAGCGTTTGTTCGGTTTCCTTGGTGACGTGATGCCTTCACTGCCGCTCGTAAAAGATAGCACACACAATTGTTGTTTTGCCACAGAAGATAATAAATGTAGCCTACATAAATAATAACTTAGGTCAGTGGATGATTTTATATATCCAGTATATTACAGAACGAAGTCTTATGAACAAAAGTGGTATTTCATTTTAAAGCTTGCCATAAAAGTATATCATCATCACAGAAAGTAGCCTATGCAATTCACAATTTGTGTGATATTCATGACAGCACTTCTCACTCAGAATCTGTGTGTTCATATTTGTCCCTCAATAAAAAACGACGTAGTTTCAGTTTTATGAATCAGTATTTATAAACGTATTGCTGCCGCTAGGCCTATACTCTTTGATATTGTGTTCATTAGACTGTAAAGTGATTCAGAGGCCCCCTTTTCCTGCATATTCTGTGCTTCCACACTGTGCTGTGAGGTCAGACTGGCCAAAGATATCTCCTCAACACTTCAATTAACCATAGACTGTATAAATTAACCTGATTTTTAATCTTGATATGTGAGCATCCTACACCCTATACAATAGATCAACACTGCCTCCATGTGGTTAAAGACACTTAAAGAGTCAGCTAGTCAAAAACGAATCTGAAATTAGCTGATTCTCATTATATAGAAGAATATTTATGTGGTAAAACTGTAAAGATAAGCAACAAAGCCACCAAACAGAATAGGAAATAAATGGGCTTTGATAAGCCCTGTCATCAGTGCGTCATCGTCATCACTTTTTTCCATTGAGTTATTTTTCTTTCACTGCCAGCACAGTATCCTAGAGTAGCCACAATGTGACCACACATTATCAATAAGAAACATCAAAGATTTTAAGGAAATTGTTTTTGGTCAGGATAATTTGTGCAATGTAACTGGTAAACATATTATATTGATAAAGGATGAAATTAATATTATTTACATTGTGTTTCATGCCATATCTACAGGATCTGTGTAATGGCTGCTCAGTGGTTGTGAACTGTTCCGCCTTGCACTTTGTGCAGCAAAGTCTTTGAAGACTGAGTGATGGAAAAAGCCAGAGGGGCCTATCAGATGAGAACAAATTGATATTGTCTCACAAGTTTGGACCCACACCAGCAAGAACAGAAAATAATAAATATAGTGAGTGACAGAGAGGATAGTGGCAAAAACCTTTTAGAACTACTTCATGTCTAATACAGCTGTAATAAGGTTAAGAAATATAAAGGCTTTATTGTAAGGGGCCATGTATTTTCAATTCCATCCTTCAACCAAGGAAGTGCAACAAAACAACAAATCCCATTTTGTTGATAAATGGGATAATGCACAGTGCAGCTATAGCTAGCTTGGCTGTGGTTTAGAAAGGATCAATCACATTTTCCCCAATTTAATGTCTTTCTAATTGTGACGTCAATGTAACTGTCTTGAATGTTTACCATATTTTAAATGATTCAGTAACTAAAAGTGGTGTAGTTTTTAGACAAAATCTCCTGACCTAAAAATCCGTACATCTGTGAGATGAGGAAGAGGCATGTACAAAGTGACTACTGGTATGAAAAATGCAAGCTCTCACAACAACAGTGAGGAATTAATAGTGGACAACATAATTTAGCACAACTGGAATCTATTAAGTATCCTAGGCTGGAGCATTGACCTCATCTTTTAAAGGCCAACAAACAAAGGCAGCTAGATCCAGTCAACGACCACAAACAGTGAACCTCTTTATCTTCATTTACAAAGAGCAAATGAGGATACAAATATCCCAGTGACCCAACATTCTGAGCATTCTAGCTTGCCATTTATTTTGATTTTGTTGAAATATTAAGGTGCAGGTCAACAGAGGCCACAGCCACACTTAGAAAGACAGAAAGTATGTGAGAATGAAGAGGAGTATGATGAACATATCAGAACAAATATTTGTGGATGACAATGTGAATCTATAAATTCTTTCAAACCCAAGCTAGCGGGTAGAATTGTGTTTGATGTTTATGCATCGTGAAACATTCTCAGACTTTGAACATTTTATTGTAAATGTCAGTTTTAGAGAAAAAGAAAGCGGCTGCCAAACCGCAGTAGCCTGTGTTTGGATCGAAGCAGAAAAGAATGTATGGAATTATTTCTGTGACGGCTAACAGACCATGTTTTGTTGTGGCCAGACTCAAACAGCTTTGGATGCCACAGTGTCGTGCCTCAGAAAAAGACAGATAAAGTGTTGAGATCTCCATATTAGGTTGAATACTTAAAACGAAAGTTAATTATAATCAAATATAATCAATTATATTCTTGTATAACCCACAATGAAAATGCTTCATATTTTATGTTGTTCTATATTTACAGTATAAACCCAAGGAAAAAAAGTGTCTTCCAATTTCCTTTTTTTTGTGTGATTTCCTACCTATTTAGGGTTAAAAAAACCTCTTGCAATTTAGACTTTTTTTATTTTATTTTAGTTTTAAATGTTACAGTATGTCCATTGTAGAGGACGTCGGGACCATATTAGTTTGAAAAGACAGCCAAAATTAACAGATAGACTATGTAACGTTTTATGGTTATAGAGTGATATTATTAATACAATAATACATTAAACTTTATTTAAAATATAAATAAGTAATTGATTTGAACATTGCTGTTTATTTGGTCAACAAAAAACTAGTTTGTTTGTTTGTGAATCTTTCCAGATCTTCAAAGACTTTGTAGTCAATGTACTGGGAAAA